CTTTTCTGACACCCAGGAGCACAGAAGTTTCTGGAAAGCAGCAGAACTGAGGCACCTCAGAACATGCAAGACCTACAGAGTGAATGCCAGTCCCACAGCTCTCAATGCAGAGTAGATGCCATATGAAAGGTGACTCTAGCACTCATCAGGAGAAAAGAGAGAGATGCCAAAACTGACAGAGGATGATATTTTACTCTTTCTTTATAAAACATCCAGGCTAAAGGGCTCCTACGAAAGCTTGTCAGACAGCAAAACTGCTTATAGCCAAAGCCAGCATGAATTCAGAGCTAGTACTAACAAGTTTCCATCAAAGGCAATTCCCAGGAGGCATCTACAGAAGAACTTCTTCAGCACTCCCTGTGCACGTCAAAGACTTCTGAAGCAATTATCCCAGGACCACAGTCTGACAGGCCACTCCATAATAACTTCATCTCTTTCCTCAGATCATCAAGGGTATGAAACAGTAACACAGCAATGTGCACCCATGTCAAAAATACCTGGTATTTAGCATCCGGGGAGGAGAAACCCGAAGGCCTCCCCTTCCCCCAGGGATTGTGCTGAGTTTAAGCAGAGATAAGGCAGAATGGCTTAAATCCCAGGAGTTTAACAGGCCTTGCTGGGATGCCAAATAGCTGAGTGCAGCCTGCTTACCGTGCACTAAGAGGTTCGGTCAGAAATCACCCGAGAACCCTCTCTAAAAACCACTTAGCGCTCACTTGTCAGCTGAAAAAAGCTGCCTAACCCTGCTTCTCATGGGTGGAAGGAAAAGGGACAGCAGCAGGGAAGAGGAGACAGAAAAGAAGTGCCATGTGGTGCGTATTTTCCAAGATTATGTAACTTCTTGAATAAATAGATACTTCCTTATCCTCTGTGGCAGTTTCTGCAGAAACATTACACAACTGAGCACAGGAATGGCAACTGGGAAGATATGATCCATACAGCCAGAGAGAAGGAAACATCCTGCTGCGTGCTAAGGAACAAATGGGAGAGTCCTGAGCCTCACAATACTCTTGAAAAACTTTTTAATGTAAAAAACCACTAATTTTTGGAACTGTATCTTGCAAGACACGTATCCTGCAAGATTAGACAGCTTCTGTTCCCTTAGAAAACCCAGGCCTAGTGAAGAATGTCTCTCCCTGTGTTATATGCCCTAATCAAGAACAGCTTCTAGCATGTGTTCTTCTACCTACAACAGACTTTGTTTAAATGAAGGATTTAAATCTTAGCATGAAAAAACCCCCAAATCCTTTTGTGTACAAGATTCTTCATTGTGCTCACTAATCCAGCATCCAGATTCCTGCAGGTTCACACCACCCGCACCACTGGTACGTACAAAAAGGAGCCAGCCTGTCTCACACAGAAAGGGTGTCTCTGTCCAGAGGGTAAGGAGCTGTATCGCTGTTTGTGACCATTCAGTGGCCACAGGCAGAAGCATTCAATCTGTAAGGAATGCCAGATATGTCAGGATGCAAGACAATGTACTCCTCACAAGCGAATACCCGATAAACCATTGCTACACCGCTTCAGCAAGCGGGAAGGACACACACCAGGCTAAACAGTATAAACAGCTCCGACCAGATTTATTTAAAATGGTGCCTTCTAGCTTTAAGCCCTGTAAGATTGTAAACTAATCTCAGGAGACACAAAATGAAACCACGAGTCAGCGAGTGTATTCCCAAGTAAGCAAGCAAAAGTTTCCTCAGCTGCAGAAATGCAATGTGACTCCATGTGCCCTAACAGTGCATTACTCGGCCTTTAATACAGGTGCAAGGTTACAGATGCTATCTAGCAACATCATAAATACCTTTGTCTCATGTAGATAAAACTAATGCTGAGGGTAACAAAATGGATGGCATTGGTTTATTACGGGCCTCATAAAAGGGAGCCTAAAGTCCATCAACACAGACGCTTCAGAAGGCTCACAGAAGATTCCCAGATCTTACCCTACTTGCCTTTGTTCCAAAAGTCAACACAGGAGGACCCGTGGTTGAGATTTACAGTCACAGAACCACTGAGGTTTAGGACACCTCCCAAGATCATCTAGTCCAAGTTCCCTGCTCAGGCAGGCTCAGCTGAAGCGGGTTGCCCAGTCAGCACCCTACTACTCCCCGAGCCCGATGACTGCGCATGTAGTCTGATAGCCTGTACACGTCAAGGGCTTATCAGTTCTTGCAGAGATGGTGAGGAGCTGCTGCGTGGTCTGGAGAGCAAGGCCATCATTTACGGACGTAGATCCAGATCCTGCAGTCAAACTAAAAAGCTCCTGTTCTTGAATAGTTCATCCTGCGAAGCCTTTGGCAGACAAATCTTCCCTCCAGTGAACTCGGGCAGCACCTGAGGCACTGCAGTGCACTGCTAACAAATATAGCTTTAAGTTAATGGCGCAGTCGATAACAACCTAGCCACTGACACAAACCTGCGCGTGCGGAATACAAGCTCATTTTTCCCCTCTGGCGGTTTTTCAACATCATAATCAGACTTAGCCCAGAAAAGGCAACATTTGTCAAAGTTCTGAACTGGCTTTCAGGTATGTTTTGAGAATCTGAACAAGAAGAAAACCACCCTCCAGAACTCCTTGTTAATTAAGTTTTAGGAATCCATTCCACACATATGACAACAGACACACTGGTTTAAGCAATTCATATACATTTTTCCATCCCCAGTACTGCCACACACTAATCACAGGGAACCATCTCCATTGTGCATTAGCTTCCACCACATGCAAAAGCTTCCTTGAATATAACCCCAGGAGCATGTTTCACTCCTTTCTTTTCATATTTAAGTAGCTGTTTGTCTACAGTTACACCCTAGATGCATGTCCACGTGCAGACGCAGCATTTTAAGGTGGCCACTCAACCATTCACCTTCCCTGGAGCCGCCACGTTCCAGCCTGTGCCAGACATTGCCGTAATAGCCACATGTTGTTGATGTCAGCTTCTATGGGAATATGCTGGGACTTCCAGCTCTGGCGTGTCAGGGTTACCTTTTAAACATAGGCTTTCTAGTAAAGACCTCACAGTTTGCAAGACTGACTTTTAGGAAAATACTTACATTTTCCCTGCTTGCAGAAGGGAAGTGAATGCGTCTTCACCTCCCTTTGCATCACCATCTATGACTCTCCCTCAAAACAAAAACTTGTTCTACCATAGTCAAGAATCAAATTCTTTTGTGCTTCAATTGTTCAAAACACCAGTTGTTTTGAGAAGCCTGAAGCTGCTGCTGAGCAAAACGCAAGGCAGAACATAGGCCATCATCAGCAGAATCCACTCCACTGTGTTTTTAATTAAGCCCAGGAAGTCGATCTCTGCTTCAGCAGATGGTTTAAGACCAAAATATGCATCACCAGAGGCACTTTCCTACTCTTGCTCCAGTGATCTCTAACAGCAAGAGGACAGAACGTGTGACATACAAATAGCTCCCAGGTAGCAACGCAAATACAAATTCATAGCCCTAGACAAACAGCTTCCAGGTAGTAACGCAAATACAAATTCACAGCCCTAGTCCACAGAACAGAGCACCTCTACCTTTTCGCTTTTGGAAACGGAAAAATACAATCCTACCTTCACTCTTTGTCAACCGTAGAGGAACTCAAGCAAGGCAGAAGACCTCCTGCAATATCAAGAAGAGTGAAAGGGCAATCAAATGAAGCCATCCTCTGAGATGGAACTTGCCTTTCGAAGATCCCTGGCCTCATGACACTCTTCTGACAAGACTACCTCTAGGGCACAGAAAGCCACAACAAATAGCAATCAACAATTTTTTTATTTTAGTTACGAGTGACAATAGACCACTTTGGGCAAAAGCTTTGAACACTACCTTTTTCATCTAGTTTTCAAACCCCTGGACTGCCACAGAGCTGTTAATCCAAAGCAGAAATGATTCAGAGCTAAAAAAAAGCTGAGTACTTACTACTACAGAGACAGGTTTTCCATCTACTGCCTCCAGGAGAGCAGTCTTCTCCAAATAAGCTGCGAGTCTGAGGTAGATCAAAGTTTCTAAACTTTCAGATAATGCTGACAAGCAGAACGCATATCATTATCTGTATCAAAGGCTAATCATTAACTACTGCTCGGATTTAGCTACGATCACTTTTACTCCGCCTTAAGCCTATTTATTGCCTGACCTGCAGCCTATTTCAAACAAGACCCATTACTTGCAATATGGTCAGTGGGAAATATTTATATTCCGCTTCTCCTAGCTGTGCAAAACACAGTCAGGGCTGAAGCAGCAGGGATTTCTGTCACATTCTACTCAGGGTGAAACCATCCCTCACAACATACTGACAATCCCCATTGTTACAGCCAAAGATCTCATATGACCCAAGACAAATATTTACTGCTCAGACTAGGCAGCCCACTGAAGGCATAGGCCAACCATCTTAGGACCAGACCAAGGGCTGGGATGCTCACAGAAAGCTCCACGTAACAGCCAAACTAACTCCTGAGTCTTCCTCACAAGACCTTTGCAAAAATGCAAAGAGATTTTAGAATGCGCTGACCAGATTAAACGTGTTGCAGGGATTACTTTCAAACACATTACATAAAACACATCTCAAACATTAACTTCTCTTATTTTCTCAGAGAAAATAATGTTTTGCTTGCTTTTGGATATGGTAACAAAGCAAGCTTACTTTCTTTTAGTATCTACCCCATAATGAAGAAATGCAACGTTTTCAAAGCTCTAGGCCAATTTTTTAGGAGCTTGGGGGAGTGGTAAAAAATAACAAGGCAGATACGTCATAAACTGTGCAGAAATTCTTCAACAATGTGTACGAGACAAATCCTGTCGGGGTAGCTGGCTCTTTGACCTCTCTGATCAGAAAGCTGGCACTAGCAATTGCTGCGGAAGAAAAAAATGTGACAAAGGAGAAAAAGTGCAGGAAGCCCTTGCTCTGCAATGCAAGCATCCTTATGGTAGGGGCAGTGGTTTCAAGCAAGATGCAAAGCAAGAGCTACACAAAAAGGGATCAGCTGGCAAGCAGTGCACATGATCCTACTATCATGACGTACTGGAGGGATTTACTTTAGGAATTCAGCAAATTAAGGAAAGTCGTCATGCTGCTAAAAGGTTTTTTAAACTATGATGTCTTACAAGAAAAACAGTCAGAATGAAGTGTATTAGGCTTTACTATCCGTATAGTCTTCTCCCAAGTAACCAGCGATAGGACGAGAGGAAATGGCCTCAAGTTGCATCAAGGGAGGTTTAGGTTGGATAGTCACAAGAATTTCTTTACTGAAAGAGTGGTCAGGCATTGGACCAGGCTGCCCAGGGCAGTGGTGGAGTCACCATGCCTGGAGGGGTTCAAAATACGTGTAGATACGGCACTTCAGGACATGGCTTAGTCGACATGGTGGTCTTTTCCCACCTTAATGATTCTGTGATTCTATAGCAGGATATCCTACAGACACTACTCTGTTTACGCCTTCTATGAAGAGAGCAGCACAAAAGTGGCTTTTCAAGTACAACCAAACCTGTAGCAGGAACACAAGGGCAGCTGTAAAACTCCCAACTATCTTTCTTTAAAATTGTTTCAGCTTCAGTCTGACAGTACCTGTAACATACTCCTCCAGCATACTTCAGTCCCACCTGACATCACCTTAAATCTTAAGGTTCAGTATATCCTTGTGAGATAATGGCTTATCTCAAGTTAATGAAGGGCACCAAAGCCAACGGTTACTTGATTGGCATAAAACTCTCCTGGCAGAGAACCCAGAATCCATGACTCAGTGTCCTGTCAAATCCATTCGACCAGGAGCTCAGACAAACAAAGGAACCATGAAAAAGGCAACTGAGAAAAACCCGACCAACACTGCAAGTTGCATTTCACTTCCACAATATTCCAGGGCTGGGTCTCTCTCATCCCTTTGATGTACGAGGGTTGACTTACCCCATCGGAAACGCGCACGGTACCTCACTGCCCTCCCACCGAGCGCTGCACTGACAGCAGCCGCTGCCGCCACTTCCCGAGGGATGGAGGAGAATGAACTGGGATCGCCTGCCTGCTGGGAGCACCGGCTTTGACTCTGCTCCACGTTTGTTCGTGTTTTCCTTTCCCAAGTAAAGGATGCAAGCTTGAAAATGCAGTCCAGCTGTGACAATACATTGCCAAGTCTCTTTAGTACAACGCCTTTCGGAGCAGGAAAAGTTAACTGAGGTAGTAACTGATTAATTGGATCCCTGGCTCTCGGCGCAGCCTCCATCCAGACACAATACGGCGGAACCCAGCCAGGAGCTGCAGGGAGCTGCGGGGCTGCACCGTGGCCAGGCACGCAGCCCGCACCAGGACGGCACGGAGCTGCTCCGGTTTTCCCATATAGAGTATGTTCACCATTGGAAAGGCATCAGACAAGGAGCAGGGTGGGTCACAGGGATGAGCATCTCCATCAGGAGGCTGAAGCCATATACCCTTCCAGCAGCTGCTTTTCCAAGCTCACAAAGGAGCAGGCTAGCCGGCTGGCTAACAAGCATTGGCTTGTAAGCCCAGAAGTGCATTGCATACTTTTGAATCCTACAAACCCAAGTCCAATTCAATTCTCTCTAACAGGAAAAAAAGCCTGAAAGTGTATTTACCACACACACTCCCTCCCCCAAGGAGAGACGCGCTGTTTAAAGAAAAAAAAAAAAAAAGCCAACTTTCAAGATTTCTCTTAGCCAGGTTAGCCGAAAGATCAGCTAAATATATCCCAAAGCTCATATTCCAAGCTCATGTACCTTCATCAGAGGAAGGAGATTTGAATCCTTGATAACTAAAGAGCGCGTGTGGGAAAGGAAGGCTTTTGTTAAAGTGACGTAGCCCTCACAAAGTCTCAGGAGAGAACTTGGTGCACTCGCAGTTTCACGGCAACACAGCTGTATTCTTTTCCTAGTTTTCTCCCAGCTTCTCCAGCTTGATATCGGGATGTGCTAAGCACCCAGTGAGGACAGATGCTCAACCACTTACAACATTTTGGCCTGTGATCTAGAGCTACCATGATCTGCTATATGAATTTAGATAAACATTAGAGTGAACAGATCATATGCATGCACAACTTTTAAACAGATTATAAAGGATACTCATATCTGTGGTACGACGACGACTGTGGGATCTTCTAATACCATATATTTGCAGAGTGAAAAGAGCAAAAAGAAAATTTTAAAATATTTGCCACACAAGCAATTGTTCTAGCTAGCAATCACGGTTGTTCAAGTGCCACTGGAAATGAATAGCACCCTTGCAGATACAAACTGGTGAGACAGAGGAAGAAAAGACGTTGAGAAACCTACGCTGGGAAGATTACATTAACAACAGTAGAAACAGAGAAGGAGAACAAAAAGAAAATATTTCATAACAGCCTCCCACTTCCAGATTGGCTTCTAAACCAGAAAAGTCTAATTCGAGGAGCAACAAATGAAAGGCTTTAGAAAGTTAATTTGTAGTGCAGTAAAATAAGAGTTTAATTTGTTTATAATAACTAGTCCCATTATTCTCTGCATTAGCAGATTCCAGCTTTCAGCTGAGAAAAAGGTTAATGAAAAAAATCATTGGTCTCGAGTCCCCTGGGACTTGATCAGGAACATTTCCAGAAAATTAGATTGAAACAAAGGCAATGGAGTGGATTAACCAAGACTGGATTTTCCAGACAAACGCATAAACTAGATGGAGCCTTTTTCATCCTTCCCTAAGAAGAAACTGCCAAGAATCTCAGAGATTTCCTGGCAGACTACTGGAGAAGGTCACGCTAGCAGTCTGCTTCAGCTCAACTTCACAAAATTCAGATGCAGATTACTGCAACTTTCAGGGTGACCTTCAGTCAAGTGTGGGTAAGGCAGGTCTGCAGAGGCATGAAACCTTCCTGTTGGGTAGAGGGGTCTTTACAGCAAATACAGAAACTAAAAAGGAAGGGAGAAAATACTACATTTTAGTTCAAAGAACAAAAAGTTCTGTTTTCTGTATGACCTAATGTCTGACTGGAAAACAGGACAGCTGGAAAGAAGCTCCTTAGAACCCTGACTCAAAACTCACTGTGTGAATTCGGCAGATCTTCTCATCTATTTGTAGTAGGCGACTGTTAAAGGTTAGTATTCTCAACACCTTCTCTTCTCATGCATTTAGCTTTTGTTCAGGAATGGAGTGGTTCACTAATCCAAAACTTGACGTTGCACTGTAAAGGGTGAGAGAAGAATCCTCCCAAACCTCTTTTCTAAAAAGGAAAAAAAACCCCAAAACTCACAAACCTGCTTGTCCTTACACCACTGCAAGTCAGAGTAAGTGGCAGCAACTACACCTTTAAAACAAATCAGCAAACGCGCAGAAGTGACTTGGAAAGCGTATTTAATTCCTCCTCTCTACGGGCAGAAATTATTCTAACTCTCAGCCTAGTTAAAAAGCTGCTCTAGATTAGAAAGCTGATACGAAAGTAAAATAATTCTCTGTAACTTCCAACAAGCAGCAACACCTCAGTAGAAAGCAGCCATACAAAATTTCTCAGTTCTCAATATAAACTTGTGGGGGACCCTGCAACTCCTGCTGCTTTTATTCTTTTCAATCCCCCCTTTAGCTGGGGGGGGGGAAGAAAAAAACTGTTTCCTGCAAAATTTTTGTGTTCATAGCAAAAAGCATTACTTCATTTTCGTATCGTGCAGCCGGGAAGTCACAGCCAGCTTCACCGACACATCCACGGTTATGAAGCCAACAGGCATTTGAACAGCAATACTTACTAATTCCAGTGCCCCCCTTTTTAATGAAGGATGGGAAAAAAGTAATGCATAATCCAAAGCTTGATGAAAGCCTCAGGAAACATTACATCATAAATTGCACGAATTGGGACCATTAAGTTGAATGCCAACTTACCCCATAAGATGACATATTGTTACTCATGAAAAATACTGCAAAAGCTTTATTCACCTCAGGCTCAAGCAGAGGCAAGTTAAGATCAAACGGATTAGAAGTAAATTTCATAAATACTTGTGAAGAGAGTTTATTCTACCTGCACACAAAATTCTGTACTATTAAGCATTCTGAAGCTTGGAATTTGAACACAAACAGGAAAAATTGGTCTATGACAGCAAACTCACGTGGAGCCACAAGCCCACTGCAAACTCAAACGCAAAAGAGGGCTATGAACAATGCTTAAATGAAAAAAAAAACCAAACGAGGAGAGGCTCAGACAGGGCTCAGACGCGATGCTTGCCGGAGCGCTGCAGGACGTACTCCTGCCAGCTACCTACCCAGTGCGCTGACCCTCCACCCTGCCAGCGCTGAGCCCCGCTGTGGGAAAGCACGTCGGGTTCTCAGCCAAGAGGCTGTGCGCAGGACGGGAATCCTTGGTTGTACCAGAACTGCTCAGTCTTTGCTCTCAAGTTAGATTTCGTACTAAAGATAAAGTTGGGTGCAAACGTAATACTACCGATACCTAAAAAAAACCCTAAATTCAAGTGCAACACCAGGACTTCACCACATAAGTCTTCACCATTTAAAAAAAAAAAAAAAAATCTATCTTGACTGCCAACCTGATAGAAATACAGAAGGAGGCAAAGCCACAATCTCTTCATCTACGGAACACAGGAACCACATCTCCTATTCGAAGTTCACGTCCACCTGCCATATCAAGATCAGAACCGTCTGCTCCTGTTAAGAATTTACATCAAATTATTGCATAACGATCACGTGTGTGCATTGTTCTGTGGGATTTTTAAACCAAAACCAGGCTTTTGTCCCTTTGCAGGTTTCATTCTAAAATAATCACACATTCTGCAATGAAAAAGCTACTCAGTACTCCCCCTAGCCTTGTCCCTTTAGAAGTGAGATCATTGACACCCCAATCACGCTGTACCCTCGTCGCAATAAACCCCCAAACAACTGCAGACGCAGCCCTACGACAGACCCGGCACCTTTGTGCTCAGACTCAAACATCTGAAACGTAACTGTTATTGCAAATTCCCAGCCAGTGCCAGGAAATGTCCAAAGCTGGGAAACCATTCAACCCTCACTGCCATTTCGCTCACCCTTGCATTCAGCTGAGGAGCTACTGGAGAGAGTCCAGCGCAGGGCAGCGAGGATGATGAGGGGACTGGAGCATCTCTCCTATGAGGAGAGGCTGAGGCAGAGGAAGCTCCAGCTGAACCCGAGGAAGAACTTCTTCCCTCTGAGGGTGACGGAGCCCTGGCCCAGGCTGCCCAGGGAGGCTGTGGAGTCTCCTTCTCTGGAGATATTCCAGCCCCGCCTGGACGCGGTGCTGTGCAGCCTGCTCTGGGTGACCCTGCTTGGGCAGGGGGTTGGGCTGGGGGACCCACAGAGGGCCCTGCCAACCCCTGCCATGCCGGGATCCTGTGATTTTCCTGCGTTTCAACCCCACCCGGTTCTGAAGCGCTGAACTTGAAGGCAAAGCACCTAGAGACACCAGCTTTTCAAGAGGAAATAAAAAGAACAACCCCACAGAAGAGGCACATTTCGCAGGCTGCACGGCGCAGGGGGGAAGCGGCCCACGGAGGGCCAGGCCGGACGGTTTCGTAGCCAAGAAACAGGCGCGGGGTGCGTGTCAGACCGCAGCG